AAAGAATTCCAGGCAGTAAACACCTCTTATATGCTGGTCTCACTCTGTCACTGCTCTCATATTTCTCTCCCTGTCTCATCTACTGCTGCTCTTCTCATGGCCCTGGGGTCTCTCACTCAGATTACAACAGCCATTTAACTGGCATCCCGTGCAGCATCCTGTCTCTTCAGTCCGCTCTTATTTGCAGCCAGAGTGATTTCCCTACATACCAACCTGCTCTGCTCCCCCCTTGCTTATAATCGACAGAGACTCCCTTTGTTGTCAGGATAGAGTTCAGTCTCCTTAACTCCTTGGCATGAATGACCCTCATCTCTCTCTCTCTCTGTGGCCACTTCTCCCTGTACCTCTTATGTCAGCAATACAGAAGGACTCGCAGCTTCCATAGGTGTGCGGCCGACATGGCTCCCCTTCGGGCTCTGTATAATCCTTCTGTAGACAGAGTTGCTGCTAGTAAGCAGCTATGTTTTTAAGCCCCTGAACCTAGCTGGGGCCCACACACCCGAGCTTGAGCCCTTGGGGTGGGTCAGAGGCTGTGTGAAGCACATCGCTTCCAAGCCAGCCCCTTCTTGTGAGGTCCACCACGCTCTCTCTCTCCCCAGTTTCCTGGCAGATGCAGGCTTGACCTGGGAGCACAGTTAGAGGTGGCAGAGCTTCCACCCACCCAGGACCTTCAATAATGCATTTTTCTTGCTCCGGCCTGGGCCTGCCCCACTGCCATTTAGACTTTTATGTAAGCAAGGGGAAAAAAAGACCCTTCTACTACTAAGATCCCAGGGACTGCCTGGTACAGCACCTGGCAGGCCCTTTGCTCCACACACAGGGCATCTGGCTTTCTGCACCTGCAGGCTGTACCCATCTTCTCCCTCGCTCTCCTAGGGCAACGGGCGAATGCACAGGCCCTGGAGTCAGACAGTCTATGTTCAAAGCCCACCTCCCCGGGCAAGCTAGTCAACTTCTCAGTTTCCGCACTCAATGAGAATAGTAACAACGCCTTTATTCCTCAGAGGGTTTCTATGCAGTGTTAAGTGAGCTATTTCTTCAGAGTCACTCACCATAGGACCAGACCTAAAAGAAGCGTTCGCTGTATCATTCTTGTTTTTAATGGTTGGTGTGCCCTCCCTGCCCTCTCCCCCTGCCACACAAGCCCCTCCATCGGAGCAGCTGGTCTTACTCTTTCTGTGCCTTTTCTTTGCCACATAATAAATGCAGTAAACAATGCTGAATCAAAAAGCTGTCGCAAGCCATTTTTCTATGTTTTAGAAAGTTATTTGCTGAGCTAAGGAGCAACTGTCATTGAGTTAATCCCAGAAAAGAAAGATCATTCCTAGTGGTCTTGTAAATGTCAATGTATTGAGTGGTCTTCCGTGCTCTCGCTCACGCCAGCCAGCACTCTGAGTGTTCGTCCCAGTTTTTGTCTGGTTCCGGTGAGGGTTGTTAGATGCGGCCTCCTTTCCACAGGCCACCCACCACCCCCTGCATCATTCCAAGGTTCAGCTACGCTCAGTCTGTATCTCGGAAAACATTATTCCTTTGGCTCTCTCTGTACAGCCCTCCTCCCCGCACCGGACAGCGAATGATGGCAAAGGGCTCAGTCATGAACTCCGGAGTCAGACTCTCTGGGCTGAACCCCAGCCCCACCTTCCCAGCCACTCGAAGACTCAGTTTCCTCACCTGTAAAGCGGGGTGGTAGCAGTGCTGGCTAAGGTGGTGTTTGTGAACTCGAAGCAGTGCTTGGAGCATGGTGAACCCAGTGAAGTTTGGCTACTGCAATTTCCCAGGTTAAGAGGGTCAGTGTTGTTTCCTAGGCTGCAGTATAAATTAATAGGAGGGATCAAATTTGAACCCACATATCTACAGCCAGGAACTCCCAGTCCAGTGCTCTTGGCACCACAACTCAGCAGTAGCCCTAGAAACATCTGCGTCTCCCCTCATTTCTTCTTCCTGCCCCTCTCCAGGACCCACAGATAAGGGAGATTTCACTGCAGCAAGACCTCCCGGTCCCCAGGGGCCTGCAATAGGAAACGGAACCTCTGAAAATGTATAGAGAGCGAAGTGGCTCTGTCCTACCTTCATGAATAACTGAAGGGATGTGGACCCACTGTGTGTCAGCATCAGCAGGAAGGGCCATGGCCTGGGGCTCATGGATGGCTTAGCACCCTCGTTCTCTATGTGATGACCCTGAGAAACAGGCCCTCACCCTCCTAAATGTCAAAGATGCTTCAGAGGCAGGGAGCAAGGCCCACCCCCCTGCTCTGACAACCTCTGACGCTGGCCACCAGTGCCCGGACTGCTCACCAGTGGGCCAGATGGCTTAGGGTAGGAAAAAATACATCGGGAAGCACTTCTTCCAAGCTATGTCTATGTCTGTAAAAGCTTCATTTGATCTTTCTTCTAGTTGCTTTTTACTTCTTTACAGTAAATCATGACTGGGTCAGAGCAACTCTATCATAAATATCATAAAGGTTTAATCTGGCCCCTGAGACAGGATTCATTTATTCAGTATTAGTTGAATAAATATGTCAGTTCATGAGGAAATAAGAGGATTGAGCCCAGTAGTTTCCGTACACTGTCTAAGAGGCAGATAGTATCACATCTCCATTTTAATAGAGGAAACTGAGATACAGAGATATTAAGTAACTTGCTCCAGGTCACACAGTGATGAAGAGGAAGATCTTGGTGTGTGAATCGGGTCTCTGAATGCAGAGCCCCTGTTTTTTAAGTATGGGACGTGCTGACAAGTGGGCAGTGCAGAAATGGGGCCCTGCTTCTGCTTAAGGTGAGCTGGGATGGATCCCACTGCAGACTGAACCGGGATGGATCCCACTGCGGACGGAGCCGGGATGGATCCCACTGCAGAGTGAGCTGGGATGGATCCCACTGCAGAGTGAGCTGGGATGGATCCCACTGCGGACGGAACCGGGATGGATCCCACTGCGGACGGAACCGGGATGGATCCCACTGCGGACGGAGCCGGGATGGATCCCACTGCAGAGTGATCTGGGATGGATTCCACTGCAGACTGAGCCAGGATGGATCCCACTGCAGACTGAGCTGGGATAGATCCCACTGCAGAGTGAACCGGGATGGATCCCACTGCGGACTGAGCCAGGCTGGATCCCACTGTGGACTGAGCCAGGCTGGATCCCACTGCGGACGGAGCCGGGATGGATCCCACTGCAGACTGAGCCGGGATGGATCCCACTGCGGACGGAGCCGGGATGGATCCCACTGCAGAGTGAACTGGGATGGATCCTACTGCGGACTGAGCCAGGCTGGATCCCACTGCGGACTGAGCCAGGCTGGATCCCACTGCGGATGGAGCCGGGATGGATCCCACTGCAGACTGAGCCGGGATGGATCCCACTGCGGACGGAGCCGGGATGGATCCCACTGCAGAGTGAACTGGGATGGATTCCACTGCAGACGGAGCCGGGATGGATCCCACTGAAGACTGAGCCGGGATGGATCCCACTGCGGACGGAGCCGGGATGGATCCCACTGCAGAGTGAACTGGGATGGATCCCACTGCAGACTGAGCTGGGATGGATCCCACCCAATGGGTTTTGTTGGTGAGCTTTCTTTCCCAGGAACTGATGACAACCTGGGGTTGCCCAGGAGCTAAGGAGTCCTTGGGAGGATGGGAGGGTCTTCCTCTGACACAGCCAACTCCTCAAGGTGTCGGGCAGTTCAGCGTAGAAGCTGCCCTTGGTGTTGGCTGGCTGGCTGAAATTCAGCCCAGGCTACCACGAAGGCAGGATGGGGTGATCTCCTCGTCCCTGGGTCCTGCGCATGAGCCCAGTTCCCGGCACATTGCCATTACTTGAAATATATTTGTAGAGGGAATAAAGGAAGAAAGGGAAAGGAGAAGGAAATGGGCCAGAAAGGCAGCATTTGAGTTACGGAGACAGTGTGGAACCTAAGGGCCCAGATTAGAGTTGGAGCTGGCTTTCATCCCAGTGTCTCTGGTTTCCCAGGGAGACCTCAAACAGGTACTGTGACTTCCTTGGACCTTGTTTCTTCATCTGTAAAGTGGGTATAATGCTTCCCTCAGCTGCCACTATTACTATTATTGTTACCATCACATTATTATCGTTACCTGATTGAGAAATACTACTCATTTATAGCCAGAAGCAAGAGAGCAGCAAATAGGACAGTGAACCGACAGCTGGTGGTTGAAGCTGGAGCAAGGGGCAGATGAAGCCAGACTCAGCTCCCTGTATCTCCCCGACAGTGGCTGCTCAGTGTTCTTGGGTCCTAGTTGTCATACACACCCCTTCCCAAACATCATTTTCCTTAAATACATAAGACATAATTAGGCTTTAAGGAAAATCTAGCTCCATAGTTGCAGCCCTTGGACACATGCCAAGAACTCCACATACAGGGACCAGTCCTTACTGAGTTTATATGACCCTGGGGACCCATCCACTTCCCCAGGGACACACCTGAAAGGCCAAGGTTGCTTTTCAGAATATTATCACCCTTATTAAGATGAAAAATCCATTCAACTGGCAAAGAGTTGAGATGCATAGAAGGAGGCAGCCGCATCTGTTGTCACGTACACCAAGCTGTCAGCCACGGCCCTGGGACCACAGCTCCCAGGCTGGCCACTGGCACTCTTATTATGTCCAGCCTGCAGCTAGCTCCAGGATAAGTGATGGCCATCATTCACCCCAGTTCCCAATGTGCCTGGGCTCCAGAGCTGTGTGATAGCACATGGAGACGAGCCATGAACCCCACCTTTCCCTCAAACAGCCGGGTCTTCTCCCACCCTGTCCCTGTCCTTCCCTGCCCCACCCCAACAGTAGAAACACCCCTGCCCGTCTCTGTCCCTCATCTCTCTTTGCCTAGCTCTCCTCTGTCTCTCTGTTTCTCTCTTCTCTTCTTCTTTCTCCCTCCTTCTCTTTCTTTTCTCTTTTTTCCTTTCTTTCTTACATTTCTTTTTCTCATTTTCTCCTTCCTTCTCTCTCTCTTTCCCCTCCCTCCCGCATCTGTCTGTTTTTCTTCCTTTCAGCATCTGCAGTAGTCCCCCCATGCATGGGGGATGCATTCCAAGACCTGCAGTGGATGCCTGAAACCACACTATATACTGTGTACTGAACCCCATATACACTATGTTTTTTCCTATATATACACATATCTATGACAATGTTTAATTTATAAATTAAGCACAGTAAGAGAATGAACAACAATAAGTAGAAATAAAACAGAGTGATTATAAAAACATACTGTAGTAAAAGTTATGTGAATGTGGTTTCTGTCTCTCTTTCTCAAGATAACTTATGGTACTGTACTTACCCTTCTTGTGATGACGTGAGATGATAAAATGCCTACATGATGAGATGAAGTGAGGGAATGACGTAGGCATTGTGTCACAGAGTTTTAGGCTACTCTTGACCTTCTGATGACGTATCAGAAAGAGGATCATCTGCTCTCGGACCGTGGTTGTCCACAGGAAACTGCAGAAGAGAAACCACAGCTCAGGGGGACTATGGTATCCAGTACGAGCCCTGGGCGTCTCTGTGTGAGCCTGGGTTTTCCGCAGTGGCACATGCAGGCCTGATCCCACCCTGCTGAACGAAGCCTGCAGCCTTGTAGGAATGAGCCCCGTTTCCAGAGGTGCAGGAATCACCAGCGGCACCATGGCAGGTGCTCCACGGAGGAAGGGAGGGTGCTGGGCCTGTAGAACATGGGACCTGAGTACCTGTCTAGTGGGTCAGAGAGGACTGTGCTTAGGAACGAGACTTAGAACTGGTATCTCAGGATAAGGATTTGATGGGGAGTTGAAAAGAGAAAGTTCCAAGAACGGGCAACAATATGGAATCCGGACACATTGAAGGAACTGCCCAAAGTACGGCGAGAGAGAAGAACAGAGAAACAAGTGACAGTGAGTGACCGGCAGGTCAGTGACACAGAGCAGCCACAGGGACAGTTTTATCCTTATCTGTATCCCAAGAGCCATGTGGAGTCATCAGAAGGTTTTGAGTGGAGATTTAACTCATGGCTGACCTATTTATAAGATCCCGCATTGCTGGAGGAGGAAGAGACTGGAGTGGCCCGTGAAGAAGTGGGGAGACTTAGAGGTGGCTGTGTTCCAGAGCATCTCCTCCCATCAGAGCAGGTTAGAGGCAGAGCTGTATGCAGAGCCTCAGGCCCCTGGACTCCGTCCTTTGTTCTGACAGCGTCATGGAATAACCGTAGACAAGCCCCTCATGCCTCAGGTTTCTCTATATAAGGAGGCAGATCCAGTATTTCTTCTATAAGACAAGGTAGACCAGATGTTTCTTCTGTAAAATGGAATAGACCCACTACTTCCTCAGGAGAATGAGGTAGCCCCCATGTTGATGGTCCTGGGCTTCCTTTGATGCCCCCAGTCTTTCCCTCCTACATGAAGACTTCCTTACTTACCACTCCCCTCACCAGCACTCCTCTCAAACCTCTGCCTCCACCACGATCCCCCTGTTTAAATTTGTAGAGTCAAATAAAGAGTTAACAATAGCTGGTCAGGATTCAGTGTTTGGAGTAGACTTCCCAAAATCGAATCCTGGTTTCTGTGACTGAGGACTTAGCCATGCTTTCGTTTCTGCATGTATAATACAGTTACTATGTTCACCTCACAGTAACGGGAGGCTTGGATGAGTCAATGTGGGTAAAACATTTAAATAATGCCTGAACAAAAACTGTTCCTGGGTGAAACTGTGATGGATGCTATGGCGTGCTATCCAGAAGACCCTTCAGGACGGACATGTTCAGGACGGTGTATTGGCTTCTGAAGACTCAGGATTGGAGCCCTTTCCAGTGAGGCCAAGGTTTCTGCCCCTTGCTGGGCAGCCCACGTCTAATCCCCATTGGATGCAGAGCTACAGAAGCCCAGTGCCCATGCGTCAGCGGGGACGGCTCTGGAGGGCTAGCCCAGGTTTGCAGCTCCTTGTGGTGCTGGCTAAAGCATCTGCTGCAACTGCACCACAGCTCAACTTTTCTCTCTGCGCAATCCTGCTCCCTTCGCTCCTTTGCAGCCTCTGTTCCCGAGTGTATTCTCCACTGCACGTCCGGCACACAGATCTCCGGAGTCCTTTCCCAGGCTGTGTTCGAGTCATGCCCTACCTCGGAGATAATAGGGAATGGGGAAGTGATCTTGTTCACATCTTAGTGTTTGCTAATAAAAGCTGGTGTGTAACCCAGCTTATTGGGTGGGGAGGAGGGTGAGCAGGGAAGTCCTTGTAAAATGGCACCCAACTGTGTCCCACTAGAATGAATGGCTATTTCAAAATCTCTCAATGCCAAACCTGTGAATTCTTCCACTTCTGAGCTTTTCCAAAGCCTAGCCTCTCTGGCTGCTTGCCCAGCAGGCTGAAGGGCTGACTGCTTGCTGGAGCATGAACTTATGAGTTAGAGAATGCCAGTAACACATTTTTGTGTAAAATGACAAGAAAAACAACCCACAAGGAGTAGCTGGACACTAAGGACGTTATTTATCCTCCTCGGTTTCATTTTTTATTTCGGGTGCATAAAATCTGCCTGGCATTCATGTCTGTGTTCCTCAGCCGGGGCAGGCTTTCCGCTTGGCAGGCTAGGAGAACATACACACCCAGGTTACTTCCTCCCATGTAGTAGAGGGCAGTGGTTAGGGCTCTGGCCGGGCAGACAAAAGCTCAAATTCTGGCCCTGCTATTTTCTGATCGTATAACCTGAAGCACATTTCTTAACCTTCTCGAGTCTCTTTTGTAAAATGAGGAAACTATTTTAACGCGTATCAAGTAGTCCGTACAGGGTGTGTAGCATGCAAATCCTACTTAGCTGTTTTTAATTGTACTATTGGAAATGACATTTTAGACTATCCCGCATGGATTTAAGGGAGCAGACACTCAGATTAAATATTTACGTTTGCAGTTGCACTGTTTTGATTTCCCCTCCATTTTCAGTTTCAGCTGGGTTTACAGTAACTCCGTTCTCAACCCTGAAGCAAACTACACAGATGAAAAAGTTAGCCATTAAACCAAATGCCCTTTATACAACCGTATGTTTTTTGTGAGCATTTCTAAGTGATCGTATGTAACTGGCGTGAGGCAGGAGCACCCATTTGTACTCCCTCCTCACTGACCCGTTACAGGTGACAGATCGTCACAGCCACAGACGGTGTGGTCTTGGAGCAGTGGAGGGATAAGCTACCGCTTCCTGTTCGCTCCCATAGATGTCCAGGCCTGTGCCAGGGGTTCAGACTGTGCCAGGGGCAGAGGAATGCTGGTGCATCAGAGAGCTGGCAGCAAGTTGCATCAAGCTGCTGGTCTGTCTCCTGGATGTCCTTTTCACCAAGGGACTTGATTGTTCTGGCAGGAGAGGAAGGCAGAGGACTTCCTGGGGGATTGGAAGAGGCCAGAGGCTGCTTCCTCTGGAAATCATAGTCCTGAGCTCAGTGTGGGGTTGGGATATGGTGTCAGAGAGGAGTTTCAACTAATGTAAGGACAAGTCCAGACTCCATTTTTCCTGGAGGGCATGGTGACATCCAAGATGGTATGAAGTCGGGGAAGCTACCAACAGCCTCTAGAGCAGGCTTGTTGCTCTTTCCCAAGGGGAAACTTTGAAGCTTCCTGGGATCAAATGCACCTGCGGTCCAGTTGAAATAGAGCCATATGTGGGTGCCCACTCGGCTTGGCCCTGTGGAAACAAAGATGGCTAAGGACACAGTCCATGCAATGGGAGGACACCTAGTTCTCTGTAGGAGTCAGATAAGTAAATGACTTATAACTAAGAATATGTGAAGCAGAATGTGAAGTCTACACTATTAGAAGCAATGGAAATAATTTGGGGGAAAGAATGATGAATTCTTTATGGGGAGCGATAGTCTGTCTGCAGAATTCTTAAGGATAAGCAAGAGTTTTCTAGGTTGCCAAGAAACACGTGTAGCAGCCCAAGGAGAGCATGGGGCCGCTGGGATGGGTTAGGTGACGGCAGGGCGAGAGGCGGGCACAGATAAGGCACGCGGACCCAGGCCCACCTGGGAGGCCGGCTTAACCACACTCTCCCCTCCCTCCTCCAGCTCCAGTGACTGAATTTTATTTATAACTCTTTGAAAGGATAAGCTGATGGATGAATGAGACCCAAGGTAATGCCTAGTAGCAATTAAGTTGTTTTCATTGTGAAATGACAATTTTTCAAATTTTGTATTTTATATATATTATATATATGTTATATTATGTAAAATTAAGCATGGGAATTGTTTTTTGCTGAATTTTTTACAAGCATGATGCCAAGTGCCTTGCACTCATTCTTTATGTATGCTCACAACAACCCTGTGAGGTATATACTGTTATCATCAACCCATGGTGAGATTTAGGAACCTGAGACTCGTTGAAGGGAAGTCCGTTATCCACAGCCACATGGTTGGCACAGATGGAGGGCTTTCACCCCCAGAGGGGTCTTTCTCAAAGCCTGTGTTAAACCGCTAAGGCAGGTCAGGAAGCATGGAGGGAGACAGCAGGGAGGGGCCTTCCCATCTGCTCATCACTTCTGCCTGCTCTCCTGTTTTTGGAGCATCAGAGTGACCTTGCTACAAGCCGCCTTTTTTGATGGCCTATAGTGTCATCCTGGCTTCTGAGAAGCCAGCTGAGCAGCGGGAGGGCAGGCAGAAAGCCGTAGGGCAGGGCAAGGTGGTGCGTATGCACCAAGCTGGCTTAGAGGGGTGGGCATGTTGCCCCTCTACTTCCTGCCTCTAACAGAAGGTCAGGCCCAGAACGACTGCCAGATAAGCAGACATGGATTTTATCTGGCAATTTTTACTTCCCAGGGACTCCCAAGTTCTCCCACAAAAAGGTGTAACCCTTCTGGGGAATTCATTACATTAGTGGGACTGAAATCCAGGATTTGAGGTGATTAGGAGATGCATCCCGTCAGGAATGCACTAAGGAGGGCAAGTATTTTAAGCCTCAAGGAAAGTGAGGCCCTGTTCGCCAGAATCCCTATGATGAGAAACAGGCTCCAAGTTCAACACCAAGACCAGGACTTCCATTTCTAGGGCCAGGTGCCTGCTGCTCAGGGTTATTCCTCAGCCACAGCATGGAGAGATGACAGGAACTTGAAGTCTGGTGCTATGGAAGGGGACAGTGGAAGATGGCCTTCCTCTGCCATGAAGTACATGAGGCTGGTGCTGGGCCCTATTCATTCACCCAGCAGGCACTTACTATGTGCCAGGCAGCTTGCTGGGTGTCTATAATGCAGTGGGAAATAAAGGAGATAGGCATATAGCCAAATAATCAATATACGTTCATATGTACATATATTTGTATATGTATAAATAATATATGTACAAACATGCATATGTATATGTGTATATATTATATATGCATATGCAAAGAATCAGCATGCTATCATAGAGAACAAACAGGGAGAAAGACGCACTGCAGATCAAATCGTCAAAGATGACCTCACTGAGTGGGTGACATTTAAGCGGAGACAAGGAGGCACTTATGTGGAAAGCAAGAAGCCCATTGCAGGCTGTGAAAGAGCAAACACCCTGAGCAGGGACTGCTGATGGCATGGAGGCACTGGCAGAGGACTGTTCTCCTTGTCTCATCCCAGAGCAGGCTTGCTGAGATCTAGCCTGTTCCTAAGATACCCAGGCTTTGGGGCTGACACCCTGGATGCCCACCCCGACCCTCACCCTGAGGCCAGTGCACAGGCCCAGTCCCTGCCCCCAGATTCCTTCAGCTCTCTGCCCAAGGTCGTTTCTAGTTTGCAGCTTGGCCCTTGCTTGGGGCAGGCTGGAAACGTGCAGGAGTTAGAACGCCCAGGAGCACCCGTCAACAGGTGAGTGATGGGAGTCAGGGGCAGCCACCGGCTGCGGGGGACAAACTGGGAAGTGTGGTCTGCATGATCTCTCAGGAGGTCCCCACCAGAGCTGAGCTCCCGCTGGGCACAGGGTAAGACATTTTATAGGCTCTCCTCCCTTGCCTGTCTCACTACTACTGCTTCATCTTACTTGCAGGATCAATTCCCATATAAACCACCTGCACACAAATCTTCATCTTAGGGTCTGCTTTTGGGGAAACTGAAACCCTTTGAACAAGTCATTCGTGATCAGCCAAAACTCAGTCACCTTTCCCCACCATCTCCTTTCCGCCAACCCTTTTAGCTCCAGCCATTCCTGTCTGTCATCTCCCTTTGCAGCCACATACTTTTCAACCTGACAGCCTTTGCTAGATTCCCTTATTTTTCTGCCTGGCAACTCCTATTCATCATTTAAATGCTACTTTCCCTTGGAAGCCTCCCTGCTTTCTCATCTCTACATGTTTGACATTTGTTTTACTGACAAACAATGACTTCACCAGACTTCATCCACCAACCCACCCATCCATCCATCCATCCACCCATCCATCTAATAGATACTTGTTAACTACCTTCTCCATATGCCAGGCACTAGCAAGCTGCAGTCGCCCACAGGTCTTCTCATCTAGACGAATCTTCTCAAGGTCACAGTGGGTCTTATATGTGTCTGTGCTTCCAGCACACAGAGCAGAGTCCAGGAAGGAGTGGGTGTTTGCCAGTGGTTTGGTCAAATTAAATTGATGAACTTCACCTGTTCCAGGCAGACAGTATCTGTGTAATGATAATGAGGTTCTTAATTACATAGAGAGTACATGTATTAAGTATGTAGAATTAATAAATGAGTATGTTATCATCAAAATGTGAACTACAGGTAGACACGATTTCAATACTTAAAGTAGCTTGTAAGACATTAAGTTAGTGACCATGTTTGATTTCCCAATGCCAAAACATATTCTTCAAAGCAGAAACAAACGGTCCTCAGCAGGCTCTACTTTATCACTCTTGGATGAGTCCGGAATTCCTGCTTTGCTCCCCACATCTTCTCTTTACAACTGTACTAAGCCATCTGACCTCACACTGGTAGGGGGGCCCTATCAAATATATGAAAGAACCCTATCTTCTGGCAAGACTGTCTAAAGAAATAATCAGAGAGTTAGTCAAGCAGGGAGCCAATCTGTATTCAAACACTGAGCATCTACAGTTTGTCCAACAATGTGCTAGACACAAAGTACCCAGTAGGAGATAAAACAGATTTAGGAACTGCCTTCTGAAGCTTACAAAGATATAAAAGTACAAAGATGTTCACTGAAATATGGCTTATGATAGTACAGCATTATGATTTTCTATAAGGCAGTAATTGGTTAAAAGGAATTATAGTATATCCACACAATAGAATATTTCCCAGCCATTTTAAATAATGTTTAAGAATTTTTCATGATCCACACAAATGCTCACGATATAAGCTTAGAAAGAAAAAAAAATCAAGGATATACTCCATGTGATTCCAATTATCTGAACAACCAAATATTGATATATTCGTGTTGGAAAACTACTGGAAGAAAATAAGCCAAGTTACGTAGGGTCCTTATCTATGAGGTGTGGCATTATGTTTGACACAGTTTTCTGTATTTTCCAAACTTCATTCTTTACAGTGGGCATGAACATGTGTTGCTTTCATAATAATACTTTTTAAAAGAGCTCAACAGAGATCAGAATAGATCCTTCCTCTGCAAAATGTGGCATTTCACTCTCTCATATATCAGGAGAGTTTACTAATATGTTCAGAGTTTGTGCTGTGCTTGGGGCGGAAATAATAGCTTCCGCCTGGACAAGAGCCTTTTGGGAATGAGGAAGTGGACAGGACACTCTGGAACTGTGAGCGGCTTACCTTTAGCTCTTTCCCTAATTATGACCTATAAATACGTAGTGGCCAAAAGCAGTGGGCGTGGGGGAGGAGGAAGGCAGACAAAAGCCCAACCACCCACCCCTCCCCTCTGCCCCCCATGCTCCTGACACATAAACCTATGGTCCTCCAGCTGAGTGGCCTTAATACTGTTCCAGCTTGTACCTCAAAACCTTGGCAATAACTGACCCATGGGTACACTTGACTTTTGCTATAACTGAGGAGACATATCCTGCCTGCCCGTGTGGACATGAGAGAGCTCTAAAATGCACTGTAGCATGCAATACAACTTGCTGTAAAGGAAGAAACTTGTTGTCTAAGGAAGATCACCTATTTACTGGGCCATGCAAGAGATTCATCTTATGCGTATGTGAGAAAAGAGCCCAGTCAGGCCACTAAGGAGTTCTAAAATCAATTGGCAAAGCCACGGGATGACTGTGGTTGTGCGTAGCAATGTAATCCTCCCCGCTTCTTTAGTGTTATTCAAGTCCTTTTGATCTATTCAGCTGCTACTCCAAAATTCTGTCATATGAAAGCAGACTGCAAACACAGAAACAACTAGTACCACTAATGCTTGAGTAGCGGGAGGTGGTCTCACCCTAACATTTAAGAGGATTTCCCCTCTACCTGCCATTGCCCACTGGGCATGGGTCCATTTGCCAGAAAGAGGAGTTGAAGGGGTTCAACATGGTCAGGCTGGGAAAAAGATTTGGGATACAGAGCAATGTTGGAAATAACCAACAGAGTAATTATAAGGGTTATGGGACCCGTGAGCCTATTGTTTTGTGTGCTATGCTTCCTAGGAGCAAACTCTACAGGGAGGCCATACATAGCACAATATAAATAAGACCTTCGAAACAATTAGAGTTGCCCCACAAAACAGAATGAGCCGACTTGGGAGGCAATTAGTTACCCATCTCCATCTCATCAGCTTTCATCCTGGAACTATGCTGGGGGGGAGCCGAGTCAGGCCTCCTCCTCCAGGCAGGAAGTTGGAGGGTATGACCCATAGAATGTGTTTAGGTGTTGCGTCTCCAAATCGATGCTTCCCAAGCTCCTCCTGTGTCTCCCTTCTCGTCCCACCAGGTGTGGCTTCCTGGTTGGAGATCTTGTTGTAGGCACAGAAGAGGAGTTGAAGTCCTTCATCATTAGTATTTGCTGGTACCAGGCAGGGTGCTCAGCCCTTTTAGTGTCACGTGCTTTTCTCTCACCTTGAGGAGGGCACCGTGACCATGTGCGTGTGACAACCGACATTCTGAATGCTCACGTGACTTGCCCAATCCAGATGCTAGTAAGTGCGGTCGGGGGTACACCTCAGGTAACCCATGTTCAGAACCTGCCCGCTTAGTATTCCTAGAGCCTAGCACCACGTGTGGCTCCAAGTGAATGTGCACAGAGCACACTGATTGATGTGTGTGGCACATAAGGTTTCTCTGAATGGAACAATAAACACGCAATTTATGGGACAGTGAAAAGGATACCATGAAAGGAACAGGGTGTTGACTTCCTGAGATGCGTCAATGAAGAAAGAAATGCAAAGAGATTTTCATCCATTCATTCCCACATTTCATGGACAACTTCTCTATGCCTGGTAGTACACAGCGGCAGGGGGACGGGGGGACTCAGATGAAGAGGTGACTAAAGATAGCATTAGCTCTGGTGCTGTCACTGTTTAAGTAGAGGAGATGACAAACGGTATTAACAGTGACATAACTGTACACTTGTTACATTTACAAAGCAAGTCAGTTAACTTTAAAGTCAGTTGTTCCTATGAAACGTCAGGACAAAGCTTTGGGCAGTGAGCCGCTCTTTAAAGGCAGCAGGTCCGAGGAGGAGGCGGTAGACAAGGTCAGGCGGACAAGACTAAGGATCGCATGGGAAGCCCCAGCTGGAGGCCCGGCCACTGCACTTCCCTCCCCTCCAGGACGGAAGAGCAGCGTGCTCCCATCTGGGAGCACTGGATGTCACCTTCCGACTGTGAGTTTGGAACCTCCACTGGAGGATTTGAAGTCACAGAGTCCAGGTGTATGGTCTGTGAGGGCTGGCAGGGGACAGCGGTGCTTTGAGAGGAGTTCCACCGTTTCATGCCCAGGGCGGGTGCTTGCCGGTGAAGGTGTTGATCATATCGGGGGACGCCAACACCAAGGTCAGGCTCGTGGTCCTGTCGAGAGGCCTGACTGATAAAGTGCCTTCAACTAACAGGGACACTCAGAAAAAGGCAAAAAGGCAGACCTCTGAGTTGTGAAACCTGCAGCCAGGGCCCGTCCTTCCTGCCGGAAACTGTCACATGTTGGTTTCACAGACCCCTGTGCTTAGGGAGCAGGCAGTGTCCAGACCCGCAGAGGCAGGAGCAGGGAAGGCAGCACATACTCCCTACGTCCCCACTGTGTGCTCGTCCTGTGCAGAGCTTTGTCCATATAGGTGAACTTCACACTCAATGACAATCCTATCGGGCAGGTGGTATTATCCCAAAGTTAGAGGTGGGGCTGTCAGTTCAGAATAAATGGACCACAGCCCCTCAAGTGATGCATGAACCAAGATCCAGGGACCCAAATCCTAGCCTAATGGGCGCCTATGCCTTTGCTCTCATCTCTGGCCACCCTATGGATTCCTTTCCTTGCTTATTATTAGGATGCCCACACCCTCATAGGTAGGGTGCCCCGGTTTGCTGAGGTCACTTCCAGGTTCTGCCTGTTGAGTGGGCCAAGTTACTAAAGGCATCCCCCTTTACTCACACAGTTTCCCAACGTAGACAATAGATTGTATGATATACCTAACAAGTATTTGGTGGAAATGATGCTCTAAACTGTGGGCACAAATTGTAATTTGGCTGGAAATGTGGATCCGGCATCCCACTATGCAAATGTAATCATCCAGGAAATGTATCCAGATGCACCGCATGGAAGGCAGCCAGCCTGGAAGTGGCTCTGCTCCGCCAGGATCGAGAGCCCTGTGAAGGAGTCTTTGCCATCTGGTGGGCTGGACTGGCTCCCTCGCTGGGATTCCAGCCACATGGTTAATGTGTGGAAGTCTGTGGGCTACAAGTTGTCCTGTGGCCACCCACGGTCTCCGTCAGCTGGGAAGTGGTACTGATGAGAGACCCTTGACTTGTTATGACCCCAAGAGGGTTGGTTAGTGGAGCTGCCCTGTGCACTGGGGCAAGCTGTACATTGCACAAAAATGCCCAAGCCCTGTGGTAAGAGAGGGATGCTCTTCTATATTCTTTTAGGAGCAGGTCAGTCAGATGCAGCCACAAGGGGAGAGCAGGAAAAGCTCAGGAAAACCAAGTGTGTGATGCTCACAGCTCCTGGAGACAGGAGGCCCAACATGCGCAGGGCCCTGTGGGAAAGTCAGTAGGGTGGTCAGGCGGCTGAAGACAGATGCTGTAGAGGCACTTAGGCCATGGCCTTTCCTGGGGTTTCTGCAGAAGGCAGCAGGGCCGGGCAGGGTGGAGAGTTTAGGACTGGCCAGCATGAATATTTCAGAGGGGTTTGGGCTATAGGGATGGTCTCTGCTTGCCTGGTGTCTGTCCCTGGGTTAATGAAGGCGGAGGAATACTGCTTCCTGCACAGTATGGGCTAGATGGAGGAGGTCTGGCTCTGGATTAGGTTTGTTAGCATATCAAAGGCATGATCCCAGTGGAGCCCTTTGTTATTTCTAGGAATTGGCTTACTCAGGGAGAGACAGCCTCTCCCCCAGCCAGAAAGGATTTTTAAGATGGCAAAACATCATATAATATAAAGAAAATTTAAAAAATGTATAATACAGACGCCTACACTCCAGTTGCCAGGGCTCACAGCTGTGCCAGCCAGGAGGTAGGGGGCTGGGGAGAGTGGCCATAAATCAAACCCTTCCACCCAGCTCCCTGCCCTGCAGTTGACAATCCTAAATCCCAGAGGGTCTGAGAAAATAAGCTGCTTAGCCTGGAACCCCAGTAGGCTGAAGATCTTAACATAGCATGTGCACTGTCTAGGTTAAGAGCGGAAGGGCCCTGACCATTACTGAGCATCTTCTCTGTGCCTGGCATGTACTCTAGTCCATACTAACCAGCACTTGGCACAGTCAGCCCATTTGCCATTGTACAGATGAGACCACTGAGGCTCAGAGAGAGATGACCTATCTTCCCAAAGTCACACAGCCTGTCAGTGGTATAGCAAGGTGTCAAATTCAGGTTTGTCTGATTCAGAAGGTGCTCAACGTCACTAATCATCAGGGAAATGCAAATCAAAACCACCCTACGCCTATTAGGATGGCCATGATTTTTAAAAAAAGGTGTTGGTGAGGATGTAGAGAAAAGAGAACCCTTATGTACTATTGTTGAGAATGTAAGTTGGTACAACCATTATGGAAAACAGTAGGGAGGTGCCTCAAAGAACTAAATGCCATATGACCGAGCATCCTACTTCTGGGTATCCATCCAAAAGAGTTCAAATAAGAACACGGAGGAGATGCGGGTGCTCCTAAGTTCACTGCAGCACTGTTTACAATAGCAAAGACATAGGAACAACTTAAATGTCCATCAGCAGATGAATGGATGAACAACAAAACTGGTACAGAAATACAGTGGGCTATCATTCAGCCTGAAAAAAGAAGGAAGTTCTGCCTGCCCTTTGCTACCACCTGGGTGAACCTGGAGGGCATTATATGAACTGAAATAAGCCAGACACAGAAAACACATCTTACATGATCCTACTTACATCAGGAATCTAAAATATTCAAACTCATAGAGGGAAAGTAGAATGATGGTCACCAGGGGCTGCGAGGAGATGGAATCGGGCACATGCTGGTCAAAGGCACATGGTTTCCATTGTAGGAGATGAGTAAATCCTACAGATCTCTGTGCAGCAGGCTTAGTTAACACAACTGTACTGAATGCTGAAACATTTGTGAAGTGGGTAGATCGTATGTTAAATGTTATCACAACAAAAGGGGGAAGGAGGAAATTTAGAGGTGATGATGGTTCAGTTGATAGTACTGTTTGCAGTGATGGGAGTATACTCATCTTTAGATTCATGAAGATGTACGTATTACATATATACAGCTTTTTTCTATATTAATCACACTCAGTTTCCTTGGAGCCCCTCTTCTCTTCCCACGTGCTGAGCTGCCTCGTGTCTGGCTCTCAGAGATGCGGTGCTCCAGCTCTTCCCATTCGGATGAGCAACTCAAGGTGCCAGGGCTGAAATGGTAGCAGTTCGACCTCCCTTCTGAGCCATCCCTTCTCTACTGGGCACACATCCCTGGTCCGAGCCCTCAATCACCCTCTGACCTCAGGGGTCCTCTTTAACCACTTTGCTCTTTGCTCCCCTAACTTTTGTCTTTTCTGCTGTTTCCTCCACTCAACACAGTAATTGAGGTCTTCGCAGTGGGCCCAATACTTTGGATATAGAAGGGGAATAAGATGTGGTTCCCACCTTAAGGAACTGAATGCCTAGTGGGAGATACAAAAGGAAGAGGTTTTTTAAAAGAGAGGAGTGGGAGAGGAAGAGAAAGGAGAGGGGAAGAGAAAAGGGGGGAGAGGAAGAGAATCACAGCACAGAGATGAAGATGCCTGAGAAATGCTGCGTGTGAGTTTGGGGGCAAAGCAGGAGATAGTAACTCTTCTGAAGATCTCCAGGAAGGCTTCCTGGAAGAGGTGGCATTGGGGAGCAACAGGGAAGAAAGCCCTGGTGAATCACACTACATGTTGCCTCCTTTGTCCCACACCTGACCTTGTGAAGTAGACCTCATCCCCGATTAAAGAAGAGGAATCTGAAGCTCAGCCAGGTTGGGTGGCAGCTCCAGGACTCGGTCAAGGATGGGAACCAGGAGCGTCAGCTGGCTCTGCAACCTCTGATGTGCCGCATCCCCATTGGCCGGTTTTGGTGGTCAAGAACAAAGAACTTTGCTTAGTGACAAGGAGGCTTGGCTTTAAATCCCATCACTTTGGGTTGCTAAGTACTTAACCTTTCTGAGTCTGTTCCCAGTTACTGGGAATTAGCAGGATGACCTTGAGTAAGTTCACCTCGTCTTTCTGGGTCTACACTTCTGATGGGAATACTTCCTGGGTCTACGTCTTCTTGATGGAAATACAATGGCAGGAGGGTAAAATGAGACGGCGCAGTGCTTGACAAAGAGTAACTAGCCAGTAAGAGATGGCTCCCCTTCCTTATCTCCTCTCAGCCTCCAGACCCCTTCTGGTCCCACATTACGGGGCAGTGGCTAAGATGCTGAACTTGAAGCATCTAGAGCTTCAGACCTGACAATGGGGAGAGTGGGGGGGTGGGTGTTTTCTCTCCCTGCATCTCTGACTCACAGAAGACTGTGTTAGTCATGCCCTGATGTGCAGGATCCCACATACTAAACCCACGGGCTGTGATGTCAACCTCAACCAGGACAAGAGGATTGCCACAATGCCATTATCAACCAAATTAGAAGAAGGAAAACTGTACAGAGTGCTGGATCTCAGCATGAGCCACACATTAAATTTACAAAATACATACTAATAATCAGGCCCTCCCCTGGTTTTAAATAAAATACCCGATGTTAAGGTATTCTGAGTGTCATGGGGCTTTAGCGCCTAAATCACGTGGAGTGGAGTGGTGCCATTAAGAGTGATGTGCATCAGTGGTTCTCACCCTGAGCTGCATCAGAATCTTCTGGAAGGCTTGTTAAAATTTGGCTTACTAAGCCCCACGTGCAGAGTTGTTGACTCTGTAGGTCTGGGGTGGGGCCTGAGAATCTGCTTTTCTAACACGTCTCCAGATTGGATGCTGCTGGTTCTGGCCCCGCATACTGAGAAGCACTGATCTACATAATAAATAAAAGAGAAAAAAAATAGAGCATATTATCTACTAAGACTTACCCAAAAATGTGTCTACACCCCTGAAGCTTCTTGCTGTTGAAATTCTTAGCACATGTATGTTATAGGGAGTGTCCTGTGTAGTGACAATCAAGATAAAGAAAAGCTGACTGATTCTTAGGGTGTACTAGGTGAGAACATAGAATATTCTCTGCTGCCTTTGATGGGGCGTGGGGGTCACATAGATCAGCCCACACAGTGGGATTTGAATTCTCTCTCCTTATAACAATTGAGTCAACTGAATTGTTGAGCAGGTAGATGACAGCATCGATCTAAAAATATATAACTTGTCACAAAGTATTTCTAAACCTGCGTCTAAATCTCAATGTGGAAATGTGGATTGTTATGCAAAAAGCAAAGGGCTCAAGTACCCAATGCACTAGATTTTGTAATAACATTCAGGAATCTTTCCTAGTCCAAATGCCTCTATGTGGGGAAGAAGATGAAAAAGTAAACAGACAATTCTTTGGGAGAAAATAAAAAGTCTTACCTCATCATTCCCGTCAGTTCTTACGTTCATACATTCACAAGTTCATTTTGCTAATTCTTTTCCCTTCTTTCACTCCATGAATGGTCTGTGGTTTCCATAAGCTGTTTAAAAGTAAAGACAACTTTTGGAAGACAGGAACATAATTCTATTTTAAAAGTCATCTCGGAAACGGTCAAGTTAGCAATAGAAAGTTCCACTTTTCACTAAACTTAGGGTGATGAGTCAACTTTCATTCTCTGGGAGGCTTCTTCAAGCAGCTTTGGCTTCACCTGGCTGAAGAACCAGTCAGTGTGACCGAGAAATCAGAGAGCTGGAGAGAGCACAGAGATCAAGTCCAAGTTCCCATCATCCAGCCTCTCCCCCACATATCCACACACACTTTAGGGCATGCCTCTCATTTTCTGCACATTTCAAAAAATGTACTGCACCAGTGTGGTCTTATCCTGGTCATTCAGTGTCGGGGTTGGTGTTCTCACCGCTCTGGTTTGGATATATCACTGTGCCCTGAATTGTATACTTACTGTATTAGTATCTGTCGCCTCTGTTAGAATGCAAGCTCCAACATGACAGGGACAATATATAACTTGTCGACCTTTATCTTTCCTGCACCTCTCATAATGTCTAATCTACTAGAGGCACTCATTAAATAGCCCTATATTGATGGAATGAATGACTCAATGAAGTAACAGAGATTCAAAGGATGACTGGGAATTAGCCAGGAGGCATGACAGGGAAAAGGATTCCAGGCAGGGGAAACTGCATGTGGAAGGGTCCTGTGGTAGGAGAGGAAAGTGTTTTTCCCTATGGTCAAAGCTAGAGTTGCTGTAGGTAAAGAGAAATGAGGCTGAGTCTTTTAAGCCATCCATTCTTTGTCTCTCAGTTGAGCTTCTGATGCTGAATCCTGAATCTCGGTGCATTGGCAGGGTCAGCTATTCTGAATTCTTATTTAGGAGGTAACTAGAATTCCAATCAGGCTTGGCCTTAATTCCAGGGCAGTTACAGCTTAAAAGCTACCATTTATTGAGTACATAGTATGTACCAGGCAGTGCACTAGGCCTTTTATATAGCTGCATTTTTTTCCTCTAATTATTTGTCTACTGTGCTTAGCTTTTCTGGAATAGGATCTTGCTTTGAGCTGCCAGTCTGTCGATAAGAGTCAGATTTCAGGGACCCAAAACAGCTATCCTGTAACTACTGTCCCTGTTTCTCACTGTCTGTGCTCTGCTTGAGAGGCCCCGACAGCCCTGGAACTTGGACTGAGCTGGTTGAAATCTGTTCACTTGGATGAACCTGAGACAAAGCTGTCTTGTCTCAGATCAGTGCCTTCCAGACTGATACCAAGGACCCATGGTTTTTCTCTGAGACTTCAGTTCATTGTCAGCAACTTGAATGCTTAGCTGGATGGGTAAGACAACTAACAGCGGAGTGGCCTTGGGATCAGGGAAACCTGAGTTTGATGCCCAGTTTTATTACTTCCAAGCCATAGAACCTTGGACAAGTTTCTTCCCTCCTCTGAGTTTGCATTTTCAGGTGTAAAAGGAACCAATTGTGTTTACTCTAAGAGTGTTCTAAGGATTTAATGAAGTGATTCAGCACTGTACCTGGCCCATGGTGAGACAAAGGACCACAGCCTCTCCTCTTGCTGTGCTGGTAGCCATAGGGAAGAGAGGCCCAGACTGGCTGCAGAATTCTCTCACATTCTACAGAGGGAAAGGAAAATCAATTTCAACAGGTACATGCAAATCTCCATTTGCTGGGCTTGCTGGAGAATGGATCGCCTTGTTCATTTCATGTTTTAGGTCTGCAGGTAAATTCCAAATCCTTTTTATGGAAAATTCATTCTGTCTTCCACAAATGTTTACTGAGTCTGTGCAATCTGCTAGGCATGTGGGAGAAACAAGGACATATTAGATGGTGATGCTGTACTCACCTTGGGAGTTGGAATAGCGAGAGTACAGATTTTCTACAAATGGCGAGGGAAAGCACTTTTTTGCTTAAATACAGAACGCTAAGCGTTATTTACTTTCAAAAATCATTGAGGATCTTGCAAGGGCCTCTCATTGCCTGAGTGAATTAATAGAGAACTAAAAGGGGAGCAGCTGCTGCAAATAGATATGTACCGAATTTGTGTTTTCCTCTTGTTTTTGTATAACAATATAAATTATATAATGCATCAACACTTGTCTATGCTAATTACAAGAATTATATATTATATATGCATATATAATAATTTTATTGGCATACCAATATGTAAGTGAAATATAATATGCTAAATATTCCTAATTGTATATGCATTTGTTTATATATACTAATTATACATTTACATATAATTATACATTGTTCTAATGAGATATGATTTATATGATATATAGTATGTGCATATGTTTTATAATAATATAGATATATAAATAACCCAATTATATCATGTTATTTCACTGCTACATGTATCTTTCTCTTTAAAATGGAAATGGTTAAGTTCTGCTTAGGTCAGATACTACGTATGTTAAATAAATCTATGCTTTATTCCCACTCCGTAATACTAATGAACATAGAAATCTGCAAAATGATAAGGGGGATCCCCCATTATATCCCACTCTCCGAGTTTCTCAAGCATCCATTCAGCAGGTTTCACCAAACTCCTGTTATGTGCCAGGCTCTGCCCTGGGCACTGGGGTGTGGAACCAGATGAGGCCTTGGCCGTGACCTCATGGGGCTCACAGATGGGGCAATTGGCCATGGGGGCTGTGGGGGCTGTGTCCTGGAGGAAGGATCCACAGACCCACAGATCCACAAAAGCAGGCAAGTGACTTTGCCTGGGACGCTGGGAAGGATTTCTAAAAAGGAGATGTCTACAGGGCAGCGGACGTGAAGAAGAGAGTGGAATACGGGCCTGCTGTGGAGGGGAAAGGCATGGAGAAAACCAGTGCTGATGCTCAGGCAGTGGGATACATTCAGGAGGGGGGACTGCAGATGTGCTCCTGCTGATAGGATAAAATACTGAGAAAAGTAGCAGCTGTATTCATAGGGGTCCTGATGGCAAATACTGAGCATCTACTGCTGTCAGCCCTTGGATGCATTAGATCCACGATCCTGCCACGATCTCAGTATACATATGGAATTACACGCCGCATAGTGAGACAAGTGCCCAGAGGAACTGCTGTGTCACTCGAGGCCACTTGGCTGTGAGCACAGAGCTCAGCTGACCAAGGTCTGCTCTATCTTACCGTGGTGGCCTTGGGCCAGGTTCCTGACCTCTGCAAACCTCAGCTCCTTCCTCAGGAACTAACGGCCTGTTCTGCCGCACAGGGCCGGGGTCATGGCGTATCAGTCAGCGGTGGCTCAAGTTCTGTGGTATGGGCAAAGTGAAAGGAACTCAGAGTAAAGAGGCCTCCAGGGCCAGATCCTGGAGGGCTAGCCAGGGAACAACTGAAGGGTGTGCACTTCATTCTGAGAGCTGTGACAGGCACAGGGATCCTTTGAAACAAACAGTGAAACATTCAGTGTTGTATTAAGGAGCCTCACTGTGCCCGCGGTGTGAAGCGCACAGGGACATAGCCAGGCCCGTTTGGAGGGCACTGTCCTAAGCCAGGGGAGGAAGTTTGACCGTCAGACTGAGAGGTGACAGAGATGCCGAGAGGGAACGACACACTAGCTAGCTGGATGTGGGAGGACAAAGACTGAGGGGTCAGGGTGACGGGTGGGGGGCCCTAATTCAGTAGCCTGGTGTCCTTATAAGAAGGGAAATTTGGACACAGGCTGGCGTAGAGGGGAGACCACAGGAAGAGCCCCAGGGAGAAGATGGTCTATAAAGCCAAGGGAAGAAGCCACATTGGCCCCTACCTTCACAGCCACTGGAAGGAAACAGTACTGCTGACATCTTGGTTTTACACTTTCAGCCTCCAGAACCATGGACAGTACCTTTCTGTTGTTTAAACCACCCAGTCTGTGAAGTAATGTGCCAATAGCCATGAGTTTCATTTTGAATGAGTGTTGTTTTTGGATAGGCTCACCGACAGACACCCAAATGGTGGTTCAATACGTAAGTCTGGCCTCCGTGTGGGGGGCTTGGCACTGGAGAGAGATTAAGGTGTGTCAATCATTTCTGACACTCCAGCATCTACAGCAGTGTGACTGTGCACAATAGGAGTTTGAAAACTAGTCCAGTGGATAAAGGTTATATTTCCTTAAGACAGAGGGCAGGACGGACTACACAGATATTGGCACTGGTTCTAATCTCCCATCCCAGTACTAACAAGGTTAGCTCAAGCTCTGTTGAATTTCAGAGGATTGCTGTGTTAATGCTGGTATTTATACCCACTAGGAAAGAGAGTCCCTTCTTTATTCTCTATAATCAGGGGATAGAAATATTAAGCAAATATCAACGCTATTCTTAGAACAGAGAACTATAGCCTCTCTGGAGTCTTAGGTTCATGTCATGTTCTGAAATGTTGACCTCCAAGTGAGCCTGTCAGTAACATGTCTATTTTAGGCAGCAACTTAAAAGTCTGCTTATCTTAAAATGTCAAAATAAGCAGACAGTACGGCCTAACAGAAAATGGCAACAAGCGGAAGTCAGGGGACCTTGTTTGAATCTCAGATCTGCCTCTGAAGAACTGGGTCACCTTCCCCTTTTTGAATCCCCTTTTCCTCATCTATAAAACAGTGATGGGAAGGGGGCAACTGGATACTGTTCCACCTCTGAGATCCTATGACTCTTTCAGCATTGCCTTTAATTGCTGATTTAATTGCGACTGTTGGGAAGAAACATTTCCAGAAATTGACCTGCCAACCTGATTTAGTCCACCAACGTGAAGACATGTAAATAAAGTGATAGGCAGAAATTAATGTCACAGCTGACTTTGGCAGAATAATTTCCCTCCTTAATAATTTCTGCCTCCTTAAGGTGGTAGATGGAACACTGGAAAGAGATAGTACATGGTTTGGGAATGCATCTTAATTATCAGCAGACTGGGTTTAACAAGGTTTCTGAATGCACATGATCACAGGATTTTGTCCAATGACTTAAATTTGTGACCATGTTGAAAAGGGATATGGAAAAACCACCCATTCCTAACTGCATCTGTGATGTCTCTTAGACCATTTAATATTTAAACCTCATGCATTGGCCTTTCCTTTGTATCTGGACATGTAACTGGGCATCTCAGCCCTGGCTGTGATAACCCACCAGAGGGTACAGATGATTAAGATTTATAGAGTACCTATGAAATGCCATGTTTTGTGTCAAATGCTTGACCTGTGTTACATATGCCTCATTTAACCCCCTGTAGCAGAGGCTGTCAGCCATACGGTATCTTCTCTGCACTTAGCCCAGCCTGCTGAAGGTTGCTTACTTAGGGCTTCTGTCCAGCTGTGGGAGCTTTCTTGCCCATGAGGATGAGCCAGATGTGCACAAGAATGACTGCCACAGAAGCAAAGCTCAACCTCTATCAGATGGACATCTGCTGGATAAATACTCCAGCTTCCTTACCACTTGGTTGGGATAACAGGTGTATTCTACCCTTGCTCATGGAGTTCCCCAGAGGGATTGAGTTGTAGGAACCCCTGGTGGATATGGACTTGATAAAAAGCCTATAATGGCTGCCTTCTATTCCTATCTTGATATCCTGGTATTTCCTGCAATCATATTCCAAATAAAGCACTCTCAGATCCTTGCCTCAGGGTCTGTTTCTGGGGGACCCAAACTAAGATACTCCCTTAGGCCCCTAAGCAGTAGGTACCATTATTGCCAATTTATAGATGAGGAACCTGAGGCTCAGTGTGGTTACATGAGTTGTTATCTTGGTGCTGGTTTCGCCGGCTCACACTCACTTTCCTCTCCACTAGTGGTTTGCAACCAAGGGAGATTTTTTTGTCTCCCAGGGGATGTTTTGAAATATCTGGAGACATTTTTGGATGTCATAATGGGGGGATGCTACTGGCACCCGGTAGGCAGAGGCCAGGATGCTGCTAGACATCAATGCACAGTTCAGCCCCTACAACAAAGACTAATTGAGCTACAAAAGGTGATGAGTGGCAAGGTTGAGAAATCCTGCTCTACACCCAGCAAGCCTGGTGGTCGGGTGGTAGCTCTCCTGTGTGACTTTCCTGTTGTGTTTCACTTGCAGGGCCAAGCTGTGGCTCAGCTGTGCTCCACTATCCCCAATGTGACTGTCTTTGGAACAGCTTCCACTTTCAAGCATGAAGCCATCAAAGACTCTGTGACTCACCTCTTTGACAGAAATGCAGACTATGTGCAAGAAGTGAAAAGGTAAGGGTTTGCTCCCGGGTGGTCCTTGCTCTTTTCTCTCTTACACAGCAGTAGCACTCATTTGGGGGTGTGTGTGATAATAACAATAACAGTACTAACAGGAAACATATGTATTGGAGGCCTGGCATTCCTAGCTCGGTGACGAACACTTCGCATCTATTAGCTCATGTACTTCTCTCAAAAGATAGACCTTCGCCTGCCTGAGAAACCCTATTATCCCTCTTTTGGAGAGGATAAAACCAAGGGACAGAGCAGTCCAATAACTCATGAGGCTAGATTATGACAGCTGCTGTAACACTACCTTAGCACAGAGAGGCTTATTTCTCAGTCATTCACATAACAACCCAGGGAAATGTGGATTCCAACCTGGCTGTGACTGAGAGCCACCGAGGGACCAAACTAGTGACACAACCAGCTTTGGGTTTTGAACAGTCACTGGTGGTGTGGAGAGAAGGAATGGGAGGTGGGAAGGGCTGCAGGTGGGGAGAGCAGGTGGCTGGCTGCTGTTGGGGGCGAGCAGAGGGGGACCCTGGTTTAAACCCAATCCCTATTCCACCTGGGATCCCAAAGCCATCGATCACGGCCATGTGTATGTCAACACAGGGAATCAGATGGAAAACCCAGCTGCCACCCCTCTTTCGGGTGATCTGTGTGTGCCCCCCTGCTGCTGCTCAGTGCATGTGGCTGACTCTCGGGTTCTGCTTCACTCGGGGCTCCTGAGCGAATTCGGAGATGTCCCAGAGCCACTCTTTGCCTATTTTCATTTTCCAGCCTTGAGCTGTAAGGTGCGAAGGAAGGAAGTTGTCCAGCTAGCATCGTAATAAAGAAACGACTCTCTCCAAATCACACAGTAAGATGAAAATGTAAAAGGACTAGAGGATGTTGTTGCTTGAGGTGATAGATTCAGACCAGATTAGGTGACGCTTGGGACATTTCTTGGAGAGTCTTCTGATGGTCTAAATTTTCAGATGTGCCTTTAAATTTTGAATGTAGGTATTTGCAAAGAATTTAAGGTTGCCCCAATATTGACGGTGGGATGTCAAAAGAAAGCTTTGAAGCTAGATATTAGAAGTTCACCAGCCGTGTCTCAGATGTCTGGAGATTGCAGGCATATTTTCAAGTCTTCCAGGATACACCTTTGCCTGCCTTCCAAGCCCTCAGGCAGCCTGCATCTCGCAGCTGCAGTCTGGAGGATCCGAAAGGAGCCCAGTGTGGCTGGAGGTGGGAGCCCAGTGCGGCTGGAGGTGGGAGCCCAGTGCGGCTGGAGGTGGGAGCATGTGCAGAGTAGTGAGAGGGGACAGTGAGTGGTGGCTGCTCTTCTGAAAAAGTGACCGTCCATAAGCAGGACTCTCCTGCCTCCCCATTGTCCATATAGCGCCTCCATCCCCTGTTCCTCCCGTCCTTGGTCTGCTGCCTCTAGCCTTTCAATCCATGATGAATGCTGATGTCAGAAAAGCAAAGGGTAACAGCATCTGAGACCCACCTCACCACCACCCTCTTTCAAATGTGACTTCCAACAGCTCCTGTGTGTCTACGCAGAGACGCTGGGATTGGGCTAAAAATGACTGGGAAGCTGCAAATATGTTTATGCCCTCTGTCGCACTAATCCTTCCCTCAGGAAAGAATCAAAAAGGAGATAAAAGCAACAGGCACATGTTGCCCATTGCAGAGCCAAGCATGGCTTCTGCATCCCTGTACTGCTGAGCAGAAGCTGACAGGGTGAATTGTAGCATTGTCTGTAATAGCAAAAATTCAGAACCAGCCCCCATTATCAACAAAAGGGAAACAGTTCAGTAGATTATGCGACACCCACACAGTTGAGTATTATGCCACCCCTAAAAAATGATAATCATGAAGACTCTGTCACAAAATGAAAAAAAAATACCCATGGTAGCATATTGAGTGAAAAAGCAGAGTGCCAAATTCTAGCTACACTGTGATCACAGCTTTGTATAAATTCTTGGCACGTAAGGACATACAATGAAAGGAGAGGGGGAAAGATCCAGCCACTAATATGCAATGGGAGTGGAATACAGAGTGATTCTTCTTTATTTTTTGATCACAGATATTGTTACACTATCTTGGGTGTGATAAACTAGAAAAAAAATAATTACCGTAACATTTCTTGAGAGGAAAATTTTTATAAGCCTGTCAGTTGGTAAGTTTCTTCTGAACATGTTCTCGGCCTTGACTCAGGCGCAGTAAAAGGGAAACGTTTATAATATGGACCGAACCTTGACATCACTTAGCCCTTCTCTGGGAAGGAGGGGTGACTATGCTTGAAACCAAGAAGAAGAGTTTGAAGCCTTGAATCATGTGTGTCTGTGGACTGTAAGGACTTTAAAAATAAAGAGGAGAGAGATACCAGAGAGAGTGCCGAGGCAGACGCCCCTAACGGCGTCCTTGCAGGATGGGATGGTTTGCAGAAGGTAGAGGGAGAATGGGGGCGAATCCCAGGCCAGGCAGGTGGGCAGGGGCCAGGCGAGTGACAGCACTAGGCCTTGCTGGCCTGGCCTCTCATTCTGCTGAGCGCTATGAGTAGGCCATTGTATGTGCATCTCAGACAGCCCTACAAGGTGCACATTCCTCATTTTACCCACAAAGAAACTGAGAATTAGTGGAAATTAATGAATGCCTAATCACCTGGAGAGAACAGAGAGAAGGCGAACCAGAAAGGATTTCAAGAGGGGGGCGGGGCCAAGAACGTGTGGGGCCATCAACAGTCAACAGATACTCAGGATAGCCAGGCACCGTGCTCAGCACCCTTTGTAAAGCCTGTTGTGTGGGGGGTGCTATGTTCAGTCATCTGTGAGAAGCCTACTGTGTGCTGTGAACTGTGCTGGATGCTCTGAAATCGCCTCAGTCCCTGTTGCGAGCTTGGAGGTGATGGTTAAAGCTATGGCACAGATGAGTTCTTAGAGAAAAGGGAATCGAAAGAGGAATGGGACACTCCCAGAAACTGGTGGGGGCTGCTGAGAAACGAGGATGGCCCTGTGCTTCTGATGAGCTACCTAGCTCTGCTTGTGGTTTTCATGACTATCCCATTCAAAGAACTGCTAAGGTGTCCTTCAGTGTGAGTGTGGTTGAGGGAGGCCCCACCCCAAGGCTACTTATGGGGCCTGGAGCATTTCAAATGGACCAGCAAGTCCCACTCAGTGTGAGTCATTGATTGGGCTTGTGCTCACTGAGTGGGGGTGGAACACTTCACTTTCCAACCTCCTACCCGAGGGACATTTCTAACCTCCAAGGGAGCTAACAGATCAAGCGTCCTCATCCTTCCAAAGGATGCAGTGACAGCAGGCAAGGAGCAAATTGGTGGCTTCTTTGACAAGCCCTGTGCATGTGCAAAGGGTATCTTACCTGATTCAACTCTAAAAATGCTGGCAAAGCATATCTCTTGGCATCTCTGTTTGAAATAATATGGACTCGCTCAGGGATAAATATTTTAAAAGATGAAATTTGAGTCAGAATTCTTCAAAGACTGAATTAAACTGACTGCTTCCCAGAGCTGTTTGCTAAAGCAATGCTTCCATAATTATACTGGCTTGAACATTTCTGAAGTGGTAAGTTCAGAACAGCGGAAGAGCCACCCACTCTGGAGTTAACCTAGACCAAGGTTTGAATTTCAGGCATACCAGTTATATAAGCCTGGGCAATGCGCTGCATCTGAGAACCTCCATTTCTTCTTCAAAAAATGAAGTTAAAATGCCTGCCTCACAGACTTGTTGTGAAGACTAATTGTGAAGTGCCTGGGATGTAGCAGAGCTCAGAAAATGTGTTTCCTTTGAAGGACACATACGTATAGAGAGTGGAATACCAGTCTTCAAATGTTATCTTCATTCCCTTGCATCCATTCACTTTTCATTCATTTACTCCTTCATTCATCCAATCAGTTACTATGCCAGCAAGATAAGGCTGAGGATACTACAGTAAGCAGCATAAACATGGCCCCTAGTTCATGGGACTTACATTTTGGTGGAAGAGACAGTCCATAAATAAGTAAACAAGTAAGTAGAATGATTACAGCCATGATAGATAATAATTACAACTCATGATAGATATGAGTATAGATACTGAAGCATAAAGGAAGCTAAAAGAGATAATTTGGAGGTGGGGCCTGCCACTTCAGGTGGGGTAGTTAGTTACAACTTTTCTGGGGAAGTCACACGTGAGTGAGACCTGAAAGGAGAGAAGGAATCAGCTCTTAAGGAAAACTGGGGAAAAGCTGTTCAGGCAGAGATTATGGCACATGCTAAGGCCCTGAGGTAGAAAAGTTTGAGGGATAGCTAGAAAGTCAGAATGCCTTGAGCAGTTAGTGGGAAGTGAGGGTGGGGAAGTGGACAGGAGCTTGCAGGTTACCCTGGCTGTGGCCTGCCCTGCATTGCTGCAGAACCAGAGTCCACAGGATAGCTACCAAGACCAGGTAAGCGGCTACTGAAGGAGGTATGATGGGCAGTTTGTGCAAGAAAATGTGGACTCACAAGTAGAATGTAGATATGAGGAGCACCAGGCAAGAAGTGGGCATTTAGGATGGGGCAGGTCCTTTGGGGGTGCCCTGGAAGGTGTGCACAACCTAGAATTTGGCAGGCTTCTCCTGAGTACAGGTGGGCATCCTGCAGGCAAGGAGAGAGGTCTTAGGGAAATGGAGTTCAGAGAGAAGACTTGATGGTCTAGGAGGGCTGGTTAGTAGAAGCAGAGCAAGGTCCTACTTCCATAGGAGTAAACAAACTTGGCATAAAAAGGGCCTGGTGGAGATTAGGAAAACAGGAGTATAGTTACAAAGCCCATGATTAAAGGTGGAGACCCAATCACTGGTTGTGGAGTACCCAACTATAGCCCACCAACAAAGGCTGTGTACTGCACCCCCCACCTCTTCGGCCTAACCTGGCAGCAAGCTCCCTCTCATTTCTTTACTCCAGCCAAACTGACTGCTTCCCAGGCTTCCTGCTCATCCAGCATCCTCCCACCAAAGGCCCTTTGCACATGCTGTTCCTCCTGCCTGGAACACTATTCCTGCCACCCTACCTAGATAACTCCTCCACTTTCCGTGTCCCCAGGGATCCCTTCTCTGGCAGGCCTGATTAGGCAAATTCTAGATTTACACAGTCTAATAGTGTATTTATGGCACTAGACGCCATTCAATTTCAATGTGTGATTATTGGTTAACGTCTGCCAAATGTAAGTTCAAAAAGGGGAGAAATCAAATCTGTGTGGGCTCACCACTATATCCCCCAGTGCCTAGTGAAGTGCCAGTGGTAAATATTTAATGAACAAATTAATTATTAATTTTTAAAAAAGCTAGTTTGGATGCTAGTTTGTCTCCTGAGTAACTGGCTTAGACCAGTTGTTCTCAAGTGTGGAGCCAGAATCAACAGCATCAGCTTCTCTTGGAAACATACTAGAAATGCAAATCCTTCAGCCTCACACCAGATCAACTCAATCAGAAGCTAGGGAGAGTGGGGAAGGGAGAGCAAATTGCAGTCTGTGTTTTAATGATCCCTCTGTGAGATTCCAGTGCACACTTAGGTTTGAGATCCACCGGCCCATCCCTAGTTCTGAATTTACAGGTGGGACTTGAAAGGACACACTTGGGCAGATAAGAGCTCTAGTAGGTAGAAGCTAAGCTGAGCATTTCTGATGGGCCTTTGTACTGGGCTGGATTTCGGACTTGACTTGAGGACTTCTATTTATTTCACTGAATAGGAGTTTGCAAGTTAAATTAACATGCCTTTTTAGCTTCACTGAGGAGGGAGGTGGGGAGCGATGAAAACCCGGGCCCTGCTAAATCAGGAGCCCCACGAAGACAGGGAACTTGTTGGTTATGTTCGCTGCTCTCTCTTCAGCACCTTGGACAGAGCCTGGCGCTGGTTCCCCGAACACGCCTGTGGAGTTGACTTATGGTGTGATGGTTATGTGGCTGGCAATAGACCAAGCATTTCATTTGTCACCTCATTTCATTCTTGACAAAGCAACTTGCTCGCTCCACTTCACAAAGGAGGAAACGAAGGCTCTGAAGTTGAGTGAAATGGCTAGACAGCAATTCAAACTGACTGACGCCCAAGCTTGTTCTCCCAACCAGAGGCTGATTCCTAACTATCAGCCACCAGCCAGATTCTGAGCGGTCTCCAACCTTGTGAAATTCTTATAGTTGTACCCGGGAGGGTAAGTCCACTTCTTGGACTCTGCCCCTCTTTATTGCAATTCTGAGAGCTCTCACTGTGATTCTGGGAGTGAACGATAGGACACAAGGAGGGAAAGGGAATGACAGTTTGGACCCTGACAGGTTACAGAATTTTCCTTTGTGTTCACACCATCTAGAATTTCTGCTGAAGGAGTGGACATTGTTTTGGATTGCCTCTGTGGGGACAATACTGGGAAAGGTCTCAGCCTTCTCAAACCACTGGGAACCTACATTTTATATGGTAAGTGCTCAAGAGAAGCAGGGGACATGGCCAGTGACAGGTGACACTGCACGTGTGCTTACAGATGAAGGCTCTGGAAAATGAAATATGTTGATATGTTGGGATAATGAGATTGGGGGATTTAATTTTTACATGTTTTCTATAATATTACTATTGCTGTTATTTTCAACTATTAGAGTAATGTATGTGCCTACTGCCATATTACCCCCATGAATACTCCTCATTCTAAACAGGATAGAGCAAGGCCAAGCCAGTGTAGTTACTGAGCTGGGACTTGACTACAGAAGGTGCTCATAGGAAATATTAGTGGCTTCAAAGGAGGTTCAAAATGAAGGAATTAAGGACTCACAGTTGGATGGGGAGGAGTGGCTAAGATAGGAGGATTTTCAGGGAGGTTCTTTAGTCCTGGAGATGAAGTTGCAAAGTGCAGACTCTTCTCCCTTTGAACTACTCCTGTATGTCTCAATCAAGAAAGAAGCCCTGGATGGTGGGCGCACACATCTGCTTTTGCAGCCACTTATATGCTCTTGGATTTAGGGGGTTTGTGAAAGGTTTTCTCCAGCAGAATGAGATTCCAGAGCTTCCTCTCCCTCTTCTCTTCTGTCACACGCATGCAAACATTAGTCGTCACAAAGTAAAAAAAAGCATATCTGAAGCAAGACGTCACATTCTAAAGCTGAATGATACTAAGATTATATGATGTTTCAGATTTTTGGCACCTCTGTCCCCTGTAGGTGCAATAGAAAATTGAGCCTTAGCTCTGTACAACTCAGAAAAAAAATACTCATTTCCTTGCTATAAGCTGAGAAGGTTACAAAATATATTTGAGAAGTACAGATCGTCAAGCATCTTTTTGTCATCATCTTTATGACAGGTAGAAAGAATAAGCTTCCCACTGCTGAAATGTTCTGGGATTCTCAATAGTGGCCACACATTTTATAGTCTTTGCAGTTGGAGACATAATTTTTAAATTACTGCTATTGATAAAAGAAGCTATGAATGTCAAGGCACAATGTAGGAATGGATACTGGATATGACTAATATGTGACTCAAATGCAGATGGATAATTGATTCATCCTTACTTATTTACCAGCTCTATTTTTGTCCCAGTTCCATGATATCATATTGGCAGAATACAACTAGATCATCTCATAAGTACCTAATAGATTATAATCATTCTTGATTGCTAAGTAATCAAAATCTGGTACCATAATGTTTGGTGGGAGTTACCCCATAAAAGCAGGAGGAGCAATTAGCTAACTTTCTAACACAGGCCAAATAATTAAGTTTAAAACATTGTATTTTCACTAAATAACAGTTCTCTGAGAAGGACTTGCTCCCAATCTTTGGGGAAAGGCAGGAAAGTCCTTGAAAAGGTACCAATATGGTATCTGATGTGTTAAAAGCTCTCTCATCCCCTCTCACCTCCAGGAATCCCACAAAGGGGTCTTTTCTCTTTGTAAAAGCACCTTAGGGATCTTTCCCAACTCTAACTCTCATCTGCCTTCTGAACACTGTTGTTTCCATTAGTAAATCTCAGTTTCTCACACATTTGCTTCAAGTGGTTTTCACCTTTATGCCTAGACCTCTTTGGAACTAGTATGTTGGTTATACCATTTCCTTGGCTCTGAATCTGTTTTCACCCTCACCTATTCCTCTGTTCCCTATTTTTCCCATCCATCTAAATTCTAGCTCAGCCCTACCTCTCTCTGCCACTTATGTACCCAGCTCCAGTCAGAGTCCAACCTCCTCATTTGTCAAGGAATCAAATTCAAATCATAAAGTAGAATCATGTAGGGGTTCACTTCTTAGTCTTGAAGAACAGAACCAACCATTTCAGCAACTCATCATTTTATCATGACCTACATCACCTATAGTTTTGCAACATGCCTGTTTCCAAAGTAATGACGTGATCACCTTGAGAAATATTACCTCCCCTTTGAGCCAGTGACACTTGGCTAAAATTAAGTCAACTGGACACCACCCATCCATTTCCCTTTTTCTTCCAAGGCTGGATTACATTTATTTTCAAGTTCTTGACCACAGAACTGCCATTCTTCCATGTGTAGCAAAAGATGGTGATTTTCATTAGCAATAGCTTGACTTGGGAATCTTCCATTTGCAGGTTCATCCAATATGGTGACTGGAGAGACCAAGAGCTTCTTTAGCTTTGCAAAATCAGTAAGTATCTGTGCACATTGAACATGCTTTGGTCATGCAGTGATTTGCATGTTGTGAGCTCTCCCATCCAAGGATTTGACCCGATAACCTAAATCGTGTTTGTCCCTCATCTGCATCATCCATTTTCAGTAAAACCTGCATTCCTCCCCTTCTCACTACACATGGGCAAGACTGTATATACACTTGGGTTGCTTTTGTCTAAATGAAGCACAGAGGTTGTCAGAGAAACTCAAGATAACTTCCTTTTCATTTTAACAGAGATGACATAAGTGTTGGTGTTTTTAATCATTGGTCAAAAATAAACTTAGCATTAGTGCATTTTATGTGCTCCCTGGAAAGACTGACCATTTGGTTTGGCTACTTTCTGACCAGGTGTCTGGGGATACTTGAAATTTCTTTGTATCTTCATACTTCTGAGGTGGAGATACAAATGGGATCTTACAATTTTAGCAAGCTCTTGGGGTGATTTTTGGACAAAAGCAAGTTTGTGAATCCCTAGTGTAAATAATCATGCTTTGAACACAGTGGTTATGTTGCCTGCAATGAGAAGTAACATCTCTGGGCATTCATCCCACTAGGAGCTTATTCAGATCTACATTCCCACCTAGAGCAACACTTGCTAGGATTAAACCAATCTGGGCTTGAACTTCAGTTCTTACCTCCACCCCCACACAACAGGGGATCGCTGCTTCTCATAAGAGCTTGCTTTTGTCTTCTCTCCTCTCAGCCTCCTAAAGCAGCCAGTGCGACACTGATTCACAAGCATCTTCTGAGCACCTACAGTTTGTGGCATGTGCCAGACACCAGGGTATCACAGTCAATGAAATGGGTACATTTTTAGACCCTCTGTAACTTATATCTAATGAGGGAGACAAACTGAAATAAGTACAACATATTAATAAGATGAATATAAATAGTCATAAAACCTCTGCAAGGGATAGAAACAGGCTCTGAAATAGTGAACAGCAGGCTGGAGGCATTGTGAATAGGGTGGCCAGGGAAGGTCATAGGAATGGGTATGGAATTTATTCTTAGGGTGTCCATATGCCCCCTCATTGCCAACACTGGCTGACAAAAGCGTCACCCCCGAGACATTCCCTGATTCTGGAATGACTAGTGCTCCCTGCCCTGTGAGAAGAATTAGACGACCTGCCTTTGCATTTGAACTTTGAAGTTCAGGTCAAGGATCAGCCCAAGCACAGAATCTGCAAGGGAGCAAGAATAGAATCTAATGAAGGATGCCGTCAGGAGCGTGTTCCCTGAAGACAGGCTTTGTGGCGCTCACAGCTGTTTCATTGCTGTGGCTGTAATTAACGTGATGCTGACAGCCTGCTGTGGGTAACCAAATTGGTCCCAAATTACATACAGTTGTAAGAAGTGTTTTCCCTTCCTCCCCTAAATGCACAGTCACAACACACAGTGTTAATGAAATAATTGCAGTGTGCCCAGGTTCCATGAGGGCGCTCACAGAACAGCCAGGAAGGAGGCTGAGCTTCTCCTGGCTAAAGAGGGAGTCCCGGTTTCCAGGATGCTTTATGTATACTTGGAGGTCAAGAATGAACATTGTTGCCCTTCAGAGGCCTGGTCTGTTTATTAGCTGGTCATTTAGAAGCCAGTTGAAGATAGGGCATGCCAAGGAGTGGAATGGTGACTTTGCTCTGGAAGGTTCTAGAAAGGTACTTCCTTTTATCCATTGGACAAAGGCTTAGAGATTAAAGACATATTTGGCATCATACAGGAATGTCTTCCTTAACCATGTTCCACCTTAAAACTTGTAGAGCTCGTTAAACTCTTTGTCAAACATGCCACTTGCTTTTAGACCATAGTGATGGTCATAATAACAGGTGAAGTTAATGTTTTCAGAGAGTCTGACTCCAAATTCAGAGCTCTTACTCACAAAATCAAAAACATTTTTTACAACGTAAGATGATAATATAACAATTTCATTTTGAGAGAGAACCTACTCTATGTCAGACACTGTTCTAAATACTCTGCATGTGTTAACGCATTTATTCCTCATGACAACCCCATGAGGTACAGAAGGGAAACTGTGCACAGAAAGGTTACCTATTTGCCTAAAGTTGCACAGCTAGTAAGTAGCAGAACTGGGATTTCAAAATCAGGCATTCAGCTCTTGAACTCACTTGACCACAACTGGGCAGCAATCGTGGGTTCAGCAAGCATTCCTTTCACTAGCATTTATTGCAGACACCCTGTGAATCAAGTTAGTAACCATTTCCCTACCTTTGCTTTTGTACAAGCCATTCATGGCCAAATCCATGTCTCCCAGCCTCCAGGCTGTGGGGATATGTACAATGGTGAAGAATTTTGTGCATGAAACTTATTCCTGTTTTCAACCTTTCTCACACACATTTTGCTAACGATACAATTTTCCCACTTAAAAATATGTCAAGATCTTTCACTTTTGTGAGCCTTCCAATCCTGGGAAATAGCAAGATACAAATAAAGTAAAAATGTAAATATTATAAATGTTCACAAATGACCATCACATTCCTCTTTGCCTTCGACATTAAGCTGATACTAACCATTTCACCTCTTAGAACCCTCTAGAAACTGGAACTTTGAATTCCTAAATTCTAACCAGCACCCAAGGATATGCAATTAAATCCGAACAAAGCAGTTAAATAACCATTTCTGTAGTTTGTTAATGGATTACCTACTTACTTTCTTGTGGGAGATGAGAGACTAGAAAGAGCAGCCGTCTTTGCTACTTAAGTGTATCCCACCTAGGACTTTGGGGCTAGTGACATTTGGGGCTGGATAATTCTTTGTGTGAGGGGCTTTCCCGTGCCTGTAGGATGTTTAGGAGCATCTCTGGCTTCTACCCACTAGATGCCATTAATTTTCCCTCTGGGCATCTCAGCAAAAAAAAAGGCCCCCAACTTGTCCCATGGGGGGTCAAACTTCCCCCAGTTGAGAAGCAGTGATACCTACCAGGGCTTCTTTGCCCTGCTGTGCTGTTCCCTTACTCTTCATCATCTGACGGACTCCTACCCACCTTTGTAGGCTTGCCGCTACTCCCCGCTAGAAAACCCACTCCTGTAGTCAGAAGCGTCACTCCCACCATGTCGCCGTCACACTCCGGAACTTCTCTGCCACTCTGCTCCCTTCACCGACCCTGTCACCACCACCACCACCACCATTCACTAAGCCTAACACTTTACACTAAATCCTCCCAGGACACCTTGGAGGCAATATCCTGCCACTGTATGCAGCTGAGAAAAATGAATCACAGACAGTAACAGGGAGTATGTTGCAGAGCCAGCATTCAGCCCTACAGCTGATGGTGACACGCATCATATGCCTTCGTGTTCCAATGACATAAGGCCTCGTAGTTGTTCCCACCTAGATTCTTCTCATAAGCATCACCGTGTGTTCACAGTAGTGCCTGGCCAAATGGATGCTTAAAAAGATACATCAGCAGTTAGAGCTGCCACGTGGCCAGCTGGAATCTGTTCACTGCAGCCCTGTCCACCCTGCAGTGCTACAAACACGGCCTGGCCTCGGGTCCTTGTAACCTGGCATCTTCTCTCCCTCCAGTGGTGGCAGGTCGAGAAAGTGAACCCCATCAAGCTGTACGAAGAGAACAAGGTCATCGCGGGGTTTTCCCTTTTAAATCTGCTCTTCAAGCAGGGCCGTGCAGGCCTCATTCGAGGAGTGGTGAACAAGCTCGTCGGGCTCTACAACCAGAAGAAGATCAAGCCCGTGGTGGATTCCATATGGGCCCTGGAGGAGGTGAGCATGGCGTTTTCCCCCAGCAAATAATCTCTTCTTTTCTGTCTAGGCAGACTTGGGCAGCCAGATACAATCTTTTAGCAAATGATTATTCTCTAGGTTTGTCTGTTTTAAATGAGAGTCCTAAGAGTCACTGTCCTATAGTATAGTGGATGTAAGAAACACTTTAAGTTCTGTGATGGTTCTCCAACCATGTGCCTCAATATACCATTTTTGCCTTGAACCCTTCCCAAGTGGGCCACCAAATTCTAGTGGGTGTGTCCAGTACAATTCACTTCGGTTACACGGGAGTGTGAGCATTGCTACAGAGCCGTTTGGGTCACCTTGTGGGTATATGAGATCCAGGTCAGGGCCGACAGTGGCTCATGGCTGGAACTGGTCTAAACCCAGAAGCTCGGTGCCCCTGCGCGGCCTCGCTTGCCAGCTGCCACAATTATGAATGAATTACCGGATCTACTATTGCACTGAGTCTTTTCGTTCACTGATCTGCCAGGAGTTCTTGTATTTGAAAACATTCCTCGATCACAAAAAAATCAAGAACCCCTAATAGAACCTTGAAGGACACCGAAGCGGGAACTGGATGTACTTACTGGTTTCTGGCAGTACAGGAGCAGCCAGGGTCTAGAAAGCCCTTCAGGACAAAGGACACTTTGGGCTCTTGGGAAGCCAGTCATGGCAGCCCTGTGAGGAGGAAATGAAGGGGTGTGGCCTAGGTTTCAAGAGGCGTTTCCTTTAGAAATCTTCTTATGTCAATATTTAGTAATGTCAGCTTCAGGGAGCCAGGAAGCCCCTGGGAAGTACTTTAAAATACGTGGAATATACTTTTTGTTTGCTTGGCTGGTTTCTACATTCTGCACGGATGAGCGCCTTACAGTACAAGTGCTTTTTTGTACTTTTGGGAGGCAGGGACACCTTTGAAAAAGCTGAGAAGCTTCTGTGCAACAGATGGTCGGCATTGTCCTGTCAAGAAAGCTGGGGCTATTTGCCTAAACAGCAGGATTGCGAAAGTCCAAAAGCTTCAATACACACAGAAATCCCCCCCAAGTGTTTGTGGGGTCACCCTGTAACCTATTAGGACTGGTCCTGGACCCATGGGCCCAGAGTATGCCTGTATCTATGCCTGAGACTGCAGGGTCATGGTCTTTAAAAAACCCAACCATCGAAAACCTTTGTTTATTATGATAAAAGAAACACATGCTCATTGTAGGGAAGTCCTAAATTAACCAAGAACAAGGGGAGAAAATAAACTGCAAGCCCACATTCCAGAGATGGTTAGCATTGTGAACATTTTGGTTTGCTTTCTTAGGGTCTCTTTTTCTATTGCAGATGCTCCCTGGGATCAGGTCATTGCTAAATTGAATCGCATAATCATGCATTCCCTCTGCTGAGTAATTTCCAAGATGGGTAGCCTATTGTAATACTTTTCTTGAAAATGTTAATTTAATGAGTCAGATATCCATATCGTATTCACTGTGGTATCTCAGTGGTGTTAGAGACAGGCTGGACTGCATGGTTACCGGGTTCTCAGTGGTCAGGGAAAAGGGAAAACGGAATAGTCAAGACCAGGGCTAAGAGATTAACGTGGCTGTGGGGCAGAGGAGGAGGCTTGCCCTTAAACCCTGTGTTAAAAAGGACCCAACAGACCTGGTAACATTTAAGTGAGGGGTTGAAATCCAAGACGGGTCCAGTTGGGATAGTGGGTCCTTGTTCTAGTATTTGAAATCGTTCCCTGGTTATAGAGGTAATTGAGTATCAGCAAATACGTGTTCAATTAACTACTGTGTGCCCAGCACTGTGCAGATGCTGGGGTACAGCAGTGAACAGAGGGTCACGTGCCCTGAGTTTGGTGGGGCTTACATTCAGAGGACTGCAAGGGGCAGCAAATACTGATGCGAACAAAAATAAGCAGGGCATTTGCCAATTGTAATAAGTTCCTGGAAGGAATTAAATAAGGGAATATGTTGGCAAGTAAGGGGAGGGGGAGGCAGTTTGCAATCTCTTTTTCATTACCACCCCCCAGGGAGACAGACTTCCCCCCCACCCGCCCCTGATCAAACCCGTCTATGAAACAGAAGTATGCCATCTGTGTATATCTATCACTCTACCTACATATCATCCATCTATGTCCTGTATATGTATCTTTATATATCTGCTTTGCAGATTTATTTATAAGATTTTTTCCATCCTCCAAGAACCAGTCTTTACCCCTTTGAGGGGGTGTCATTCCCACTGGAATGCATGCTGCACAGTGACTTTAGACTTTACACAACGGTAGGGGTCACTGAGCTGGGACATGAAAGAGGCCAAACACTGGAAGAAGAGCATCGAGGCAGAGAGATGCTCAAGAGCAAAGGGACGAGGAGAGAACGATCTTGGTGGATGCGAGGGACAGTGACGTGGCCACTTCCCAGGGATTACTGTGAGCAAAGGAAGGAGTGATGCGCAGAGAGCCTCTGGGTCAGCAGAGGCCAGACAGAGGGCTAAGTCCCATGAGAGGCTGCTGCAGGGTCAGGGGTGCCACATGGTGGTCCCAAGGGTGTCGCTGTCCAGGGAAGAAGCAGAAATTGTCAGGCATGGTTCCAGGCTCCAGCTGCAGAAGTCCAGTATCCAGATTTCAATCCAGATGGGAGAGGGGCACTAAACTAAGCTCAGCTCTCATTAGAGGGGGACCTGGCCAGCTGCAGCTGAGACAAGTAAGGCAGCCAGGGGTACGTCAGTCTGGCTCAGCTGAGGATGCAGACAGAGGTTCTCAGGATCTGCAGAGACCAGGGATGGGACAGCTACAGCTGGCAGCCATGGCTGAGTGAGTAAGGGGTCAGATGCAAGCAAGTCCAGAGACTTTATTCCAAACACTTCCTCCCCAATTCACCCACTTCCTTTCATCTCTGCTCATGGCAGTGTAGCTGGAGCTGGACTTCCCCCTTCCTGCCCGACCCCACGGGGCACTCTCTACCCAGCTGCCTGAGTGGGCTCATCACTGCCTAGTCCAGGTTACCTCCACCCTGCTTAAATCCTCCCACAGCCTAACACTGACCTGAAACAGCATCTAAATGCCTTTCCCTGCCATGTCCAGCCCTGTCCAGTCTTAACTCCTGCCCTCTCACCGGCCTCACTCCCCCCACCTCACCGCCACTGTCCCAGCTTCTGTGGCACGCATATCTCTGTTCCTTACGCCTACCCAAGCCTTTCCTGTCTTGGGCTTTTGAACCTGCTGCTTCCTCTGTTTTGCACACTCCTCCAGTGTCACAGAGCTGCTTCCTTCTCATTCCTGTCTCAGCTTCCATGCCACCAATAGAGAGAGCCCCCCCCCCAAAGCCCCTCCTGAAGGTAGCATCCCCTACAGCCACGTCTGCCCAGGTCATTTGCTCTCCCTTTACCCTGCCAGATATTCTTCATTGCATTATCACTGGTTGAAATTATCTTGTTCATTTGTTGGTTGACTTGTTTAGACTCTGTCTCCCTTCCAGGGGAATGTAAGCCCTAAATGAAGAAAGCCCTTGAATGTGCTGCCTGAGACCCCAGTACTTGGTACAGAATAGCTGCTCAGTAAACAGGCATTCATGATTCAGTAGGTGAATACAGGGAGATATGACCACTTTAATATTTTCTGCTTGACAATCAAGTGTTTGTTGAATGAATGAACAAGCTATACTAAAACAAGGTATTACTACTTTAGACATCTTGGGCACAACTCACGTGTGGCTAATCCTTTCTCTGCACGGTAGTATGTTTAGTGGCATCTCTGTACTTTACCTGTGAGAAGCCTAGAGCATCTCCACCATCAGCTGTGACAATATAAAGTATGTCTAGACATTATCAAATGTCACCCTACTTGGAATGGGGGTGGAGGTGAGGGGGAAAACCTCCCCTAATTGAGAACTATTGGTTTAAAAGAAGCCATATGGGTTAAGACAGTCACCAGGAAAACAAAGGAATCCTAAGTCCCACAGCAGGCGAGTCAATCCACAGGGCAGAGACAGACAACTGTTGCCTGTTTGCCAACACGAACGTCCACAGCCACTCATCGGGAACACCCACCAACTTCCTGAGAGTTCTCTTCTGAAATATTTACAGACATCTGTTATAGAACTGCATTTGGGCCAAACTCAGTTATCTGCCAAGCCCACACAGCTCTTCTGGGCTTGAAGAGCTTGAGCATGTTTATAACTTGTGACCCTCAGAAGGAGGATTATAATGTTCCCTCCCCCTACCCTTTGGTAAATGATTTCACAAACTGCTTTTCAGGCCACTTCTATAATTTCATCTTTGGAATATAAAGTCTATAGGGATTAAAAGAAAACTTTCCTGGGCTCTCTGAGCCCTCCAGCTAGAAGATTTAATAATATTGGAGATGATAAGGGTTTCTTTTTAGCCATCTGTCCTGACTTTATTGTAAATTTAATACATGAAGCAGAGCGGATATGCCCCAGACCCAGGTTTGCTGCCAGATATTAAATGTGCAGCTGTGCTTTAAGATGGAAAAAAATTAATCTCTCCGAACAGTTCAGAGGTGAGAAAGGGACAAAAAAATACTTATATTTGTCAACCAAGCAGCAGTGACATTATTGAGCACCTGCTGTGTGCTGTACTATTTTAGGATGTCAAGTCTACAGAAGGAATAGGCTTTATGTTTCCTGACCCTTGAGTTTATGATCTAGTTTCTGAGCAACACTTAAGACCTACAAAACAATGAGTAGCTTAGCATTCAATCACGGGGTGTTGTTTTCAGGTGCCACTGGATTTGAAAATGGGAAAGAATGATATTAAGTGAGAGTGAATGTCCAGAGGTGGTTTCAAGAATAAGGTGGGACTTTGTTGAGATTGGAAGGATTCAGAGTCTTTGGATGGTGTTGGGGTTGAAAAAAAAACGAGGTATGACAAGCAGGAGGGACAGTGTGAACAAAATCCCAGAAGTCGGAGCGAGTCTGGGCTGGGTTAGGGTTGAGAGGTGTGAGCTAAACAAAGCAGAGGCGGCTGGCTGAGCAGGAGAGGAAATAAGC